AAAAAAGAAGAGGAAAAAACACATTAAGAAATGTTCAGCATCCATAGATATAAAGAAAATATGCATCAACACAACAATAAAATTCCATCTCACACAACAGGGTAGCAGGTAAACAACCCTGCTGACAAGAATGCAGGAAACAGGGGGCTGGGAAGGTGGCTCAGTGGTAGAGCGCTTGCCTTGCATGCATGAGGACCTGGGTTCGATTCCCCAGCACCACATAAGCAAAAAGGAAAAAAGCCAGAAGTGGCGCTGTAGCTCAAGTGGTAGAGTGCTAGCCTTGAGCTGAAGAGCTGAGGGACAGCGCCCAGGCCCACGACCAGACCCAAAAAAAACCCCAAAAAACAAAACAAAAAAAAAAGAATGCAGGAAACAAAACAAAACCAGAAACTATACAATGTTCCACTATGGAAATCAGTATAGAGATTCCTCAAGAAAGTAAAAACATTCCTGGATATATATGTGAAGGAATGCAAGTTAGCATACATTACAAGTATCTGTATATTCATATTCATAACAGCACTATTCACATTTGCCAAGTTATAGAAACAACCTAAGTATCCATTAACTAATGAATGGATTAAAAAATATGACAAGTATGTACACATACTGAAGTATTCAGATAATATGAATACATATACACATATATGTGTGCATATGTATTACATGCTCATGTGTACATAGGTCACACACACAATGGAATTATTCAGACATAAAGAAGAATGTTATTGGGCTGGGAAGGTGACTAAGTGGTAGAGCGTTTGCCTTGCATGCATGAGGCCCTGGGTTCGATTCCTTAGCACCACATAAGCAGAAAAAAAAAGCCGGAAGTGGCACTGTGGCTCAAGTGGTAGAGTGTTAGCCTTGAGCTGAAGAACTGAGGGATGGCGCCCAGGCCCAGAGTTCAGGCCCCATGACCGCCCCCCCCCCCGCAAAAAAGAATGCTATTCATAGAAAAATGAATCATCATTTAAATGAAATGATTTATATGAAGACTTACAATGATAAATATCATATGTTTAATATTATGTCCAAAAGCTACATATATTAAGCAAAATGGAGGAATATGAGGAGGGAATAAGGATGAAGGAGGGAGCACAAGGGCTGGGGATGAGGGCTAAATAAGATCAAAGTAAATTATATGCATGTTTGGAATGTTCTAAAGAAACCCATTATTTCATATAACTTTTTAATAAAAATATGTAATAAATAATTATATAATTTTTTAAAAAGTGGAAACACATCCAGAACCTCTTTTTTTTAAAGTGTGCTAGAAAAATGCCAAAGAGGGCTGGGAAGGTGGCTCATTGGTAGAGCGCTTGCCTTGCATGCCTGAGGCCCTGGGTTCAATTCCTTAGCACCACATAAGTAAAAAGTAAAAAACCCAGAAGTGGCGCTGTGGCTCAAGTGGTAGAGCACTAGCCTTGAGCTGAAGAGCTGAGGGACAGCGCTCAGGCCCAGAGTTCAGGCCCTACGACTGGACCAGAAACAAAAAAAAAAAAACAAGAAATGCCAAAGAGCATGGATATTAACTATGACTAAAGGTTATTATAATTCCCCTCCAACTTTTTCATTAAAATAATCATTAACTTTACCATGCTGACAGTCAACAGCAATTTTTTTTAAATTTCAAGTATTTCTTCCTGACCATAACATTAAAATAATGAAATAGCATGGCTCAGTACTCAGAAGACTTAAATTTTAAATGCACAACTAACTATACTGACTCTTAATCTATTTAGAAACAACATTAGCTAAAGGGTCCAGGAAACAAATACACAAAGAATACAATTGTGACTGTTCTTCATGGAAACCAAAGAAAAGCACAGTTCATAGATATTCCTCCAGTGATAACAGCACATGTAGAGCAAAAAACCAACAAAGTCTTGAATATGTGCAGGGATAAGAGCATGTCTAAGAGAAAGATCTGACCCATTTTCTACAAGCTTTCTTGAGGAGTAAAGATAGGTCTGACTTCTAAGAGGATGCATAGACATTATCTAAAGAAAGGGAGGCAAAGGTATTCTGGCAAAAGGAACAACAGACTAAAGATTCTGTGGCAAAGGGAGCATATAGCCACACAGGTACGCAAAGCGTAGGCACAGAGGAGAAAGCTGTGAGATAAGGGGCTAGACAACACATGACCTTATAAGACATCTAACAGTCTTGACTTTCCTAGGAACAGCAGAAAGCATTGGTGGGTTTATTTATTTATTTAGTCAGTCCTGGAGCTTGAACTCAGGGGCTGGGCACTGTCCCTGAGTTTCTTTTGCTCAACCCCTTGAGCCATAGCACTACTTCATGTTTCTGAGGAATTGAACCCATGGCTTCATGCATGCTAGGCAAGCACTCTACCACTAAGCCACATTCCCAACCCATTGGAGGATTTTAAAAGCTAAAGGACACATAGTCAGGATTAAAGTTCTGAAAGCAGAAGACTGGATACAAAAGGTCTAAGTAGGAAGCTTCTAGGTAAAAATAGGATTCATTGGGGAGATACAAATGGGCGTGTATTTTTGGAGAGATACATAATGGAAAAAATGTGATGATGAATTAAATATGAAGCAGGTCAGTCAGATGTCTTTTTTTTTGGGGGGGGTGTCCGATCGTGGGCCTGAACTCTGGGCCTGGGCGCTGTCCCTCAGCTCTTCAGCTCAAGGCTAGAGCTACCACTTGAGCCACAGCGCCATTTCTGGCTTTTTTCTTTTTGTTTATGTGGTGCTGAGGAATCAAACCCAGGGCCTCATGCATGCAAGGCAAGCGCTCTACCACTGAGCCACCTTCCCAGCCCCAGTCAGATGTCTTAAAGATGATTTTGAGGCTTCTGCCCTATAGTACTGTATAAGATAAGAGGGTCATTCACTCAAAGAAGGGAGATCTCAAGACGAGTTCCAGGAAGAGGGCTCACATTATACTGGGAGTGCTGAGTTTTAGATGCCTAAGACATATTAAATACAATTAGACAGTAGAATACACACATCTGGAGCTTTGGGGAAAACAATGGCTGAGATATAAGCCTGCTGCTCACTGAGACTTCCCTGACTTTAAACAGGTAAATAACCACATGCAGCTGCCTGTGTTCCTGGAGCTGCAGAATGTTACAGTGTTAGCTGTAACATATGCAACTACATCCAAGGGAACCATGACTTTCAGAGAAATATATATATATATAATAAAATAAAAATTATATATATTTTTTCTGTTTTGGGGGGCCAGTCCTGGGGGCCGGTCCTTGAACTCAGGGCCTGGGCACTGTCCCTGAGCTCTTTGGCTCAAGGCTAGCTCATTCTACCATTTGACCTACAGTACCACTTCCAACGTTTTCTGAATAGTTCCTTGGAGATGGGAGTCTCACAGACTTTCCAGCCCAGGCTTGCATGGAATCATGATCCTTAGATTACAGCCTCCTTTCTCTCCCTCTCTCCTCTCTCCCTCTCTCCTCTCCTTCTCTTCTTCTCTCCCCCCTCCCTCCCTCCCTCCCTCCCTCTCTCTTTCTCTCTCTTTCTCTGCTGGTCCTGGGAATTGAATTTGGGGCATGGGCACTGTCCCTACACTCTTTTGCTTAAAGCTAGCACTCTTCTACTTTGAGGCGTAGAGAAATAATTTTTATTTCTAAGGATATGTTTTCAAAATTGATTAAACCGCCTCACAGGTCCTCAGCAATTTCCATGAACTACATTTTCAAAATGTTTTCCACATTCTTTTGTTAAACATTAATATATATTTCACAATAATTTTTGCTTCTGTTAAAACTAGTAGGTGAATTTCAAGATTTCTGAGATAGGGGCTGGGAAGGTGGCTCAGTGGTAGAACGCTTGCCTCGCATGCCTGAGGCCCTGGGTTCGATTCCTCAGCACCACATAAGCAAAAAGAAAAAAGCCAGAAGTGGCGCTATGGCTCAAGTGGTAGAGCGCTAGCCTT